CTCTCTACCATTTTCCTGCCGCCTCGTCGGTTACACCCCGCAGGTTACTACTGGGGCACCTTCAATTACTGACCGATCATTACCTACTACTCGTTTGACCGTTAGGCATTTTGTGGCTGTTTTATTTATGTGTGCTATGGTTTTATATTGATCTTGTTGGGAAATTTGATAAATGCATTAAAGCAGTATTGCTGATGCCGTCAATTATGGTTAACAGTAATTTTATTTTAATTACTTTTTTTTTAAGATCGCGTATACAAATAAGTGTAATTTACCCTATAAATACTCATACTAAAGACTGATAAATGATTTTAATACAGTGAAATTTTCCTTAAAATTGTAAAGTGACATAATTCACTCCTACAGGCTGAATTTTCACTTTTCGTCACACTTGCCTGTCACTCGTTTTGCGTGATATTTTACTCTTCGACTTGTAGCGAGTATGCTTCTAAGATTCGCGAGAGGTGCAGTATGGTACGATAAAAATGACGATTCTCAATGTAACTTCCGATAATTTTTATCGCGCCGTTTCACGTAAGCTGTGAAACAGTGGAATAATCGAAACTCTCAGTCCACTGCCTTGTCGATACGTCGTCGAGCATGCAATCGCTATTTCCATCAGCTTTATGCGTTCCGGTGATGATTATTATTCAGGCGTGATGCGTCGATAGCAAATATTGTATCTGCGTCTGTATCCCCCTCGTCTCCGTTTTCAGCGTAGCGCGCTTTCACCTAACTCAATTTCAACACCGCACGCTTGTCCGGCAAGTAGACGGGGGCTACAATAAAGTCTCTCGCCTGGCTTTTGCTTTTATTTGTCACCGCGAGCCGCCGGTTAATTGAGAACTATATACTATCCCTCAGCGTAACACAGTGCCACTCTGGCGAAAACAATTTACGTGGTTGAAGATATAGTTACACGTCACTTTCTGTTTTCGGTCACCGTTTTATTCTGCTTTGACGATGGTGCGGCATCACCAGCCGTCTGGCGCGCTTAAAGACGAGGAAATATAACATGACCCGTGTTACGAGAGTAATTATGTTGAACAATAAACTCTCTCTCTTTCTCTCTCTCTCTCTCTCTCTCTCTTGTCCTACCTTTTAGTTTTGCTTTTATAGAGGTCGCGTGTAATCGGCAATTTGCAGGAAACCGGAACTGACGAGGCGGATAAGAACGTATCTGCAAGGTAAAATCCGCGGAAAAATTTATGGGTACAATTGCGCTAACGCGATTCCATATTTCTTTGACGCGGGCAACGAAACGAAAATCAACAGTACTTTGTGTTTGCGCCTGTATGTTAATAACTCTTATGGTAAGATTAATTGTACGTCAGTTTCTTGTTGTTCCATTGTAAAATAAATGAATATCGCCCACGTACTTCAATTTACAGATTGCGATTACTTCTCGGAACGAATCTAGAGCGCTTCGTGGATGTTACCGCTTTTATCACACTCGACTTCGCATTTCTCTCCTAATTACGTGAATTATGTGGCTCCGTGTTGTTACTATAGCGGTGGCTTCCATGGTAAACAGTTTCAAAATATGGCGTCACTGCGCTGCTTTTTGCGGCAATTTATTGCGACGCCATAAGAGATTACAACGTCTATAATGACGTTGATTACAAGACGTTTTCTTGCTTCGCGCGTTAAACAAATGAAAGCTAAATCTCCGGAAATTGAGATTATTATTATTATTATTATTATTATTATACCCAGGTGCTTTTATTTATCTTAAAAAGAATCATAAATCACGAGACATAAATATCAAAAGTACACATTTTTACCGAGGTGTAACAAGAATAACGTAAGCACATAAAATGCCAGAACAGCGAATCCGGTTTTAAGATTTAATCGCGCCCTGGATTCTTCTTCGCGCAATTATCCGTACATACTTTATCGGATATACTTTATTACCATTACATCGATACGTTTGTGCGACACTGGATTGTCGCGTTTTTTGTCGATTTACCTCCACTGTACATTTTTCATTGGCCCTCCATGTGACAGGCTGTTATTCGGCTTCGCACAAAATATGTACGCGCGTATACGTGGACGAGAGTACGCGAGCCGCGAATGAGCGATGGATACCGCTATCGATTTCGAGCTACGTCAAAGTCGAGTACTATTCTCTCTCTCTATGCTCGGCGAGAGAGCGTCGGTGTATTGGCCCGGCATTCGAGATAGCTGTGATGATGTTTGCGCGTACAACAAATATACCGCGGTAATACATACGGTATAATATAACCAGATCGTCCGCGGGCCCACTTCGCGTGGTAATCTTGCGTGGCATTTTTTTTTACACGCGTCGAAAGCGGGTACCAACATGGGTAACCCGCGGCTGAGTTTGCTAATCAATCCGCGCACACGGATAGTTACGATTCATTTTATTTATTTTCTTTTTACTTTCTATTTAATCCTGAACACTTGATGTTTCCGTCACTTTATTTCCGAAATATTCGTCATCACTTATTACTTGCAATATTTGTCAAATACCAGACTCGGTGTTTTTCAATCGCTTAACTTATCTGCGATACACTCTCTAAAAGTCGAAGAGTGAAATGCAAGTATATTGAGCTTGTGCACTTCGAATGATTCGCCACCCTAAGAAACAGTTAAATTGTGCTCTATAAGTTGGAGTGAAATTGCACTCTTTTCGAGTGCAATAGATCAGTGTCTATAGGAGTGAATTACGTCGTTCTAAATTTTGAGTGGAAAATTTCAGTGGAATCGTGATTTAGCTTTAGAGTAAGATCGTATCACTCCAGTAGAGTAGCCGCTCTAAAAATTTGTTTGAAAAATTTATTCCTATGATACTTTATTTTCGCATTTACTCAAATTGGAGTGACCATCGCGATCACTCTAATATATTAGTAGCGAAACCACTCTATGAGATTTAGAGAGTACGTATTGCGGTGTTTGATATGTCTTTACGGGTGTACACTCGGTGTACGATGATATAGAAGATATGGGAATAAATCCTACAACTCGTTCTCGTATTGCGCTGTTTCTTGTATCCACCGGGGTCATTTTACGCTTGCGTTGCACTAGTGAACACGTTTCTTCTTGGATTGCCGTTACGAATGTGCTTTATTCAAGATTGATCGTTCGCACGTTATGCGAAAGTTTATCGCAGATACGCCAGTGTAAAACCCGTACATGCGATGGTTGCATATGCCCTTATCGCTATCGACATAAATCTGGTTTCGCCCACATTCATTGTGCGTTTATCGAATCATGAATGAAATATATCCCAGTTCTTATGCATTGATTTACATGTGCGCGTCACGTAACGTCAACAAATCATAAAGTATCAAGTCTCTTCTAAAAAATCAAACATTTTCAACAGGATATCAATCTTGTCATCGGTTATCGCTAGTTATTAACAAACAAAAAAAGAATTATGCATGATAAAGGAGCTGAAGAATATCTCCATTGCCTACTTTGTTTTCTCCATCAGCATCTTATTGTAATCAGTTGCATAAAAAAAATATATTTTTTCTCTACGTAATTTGTAAACTAGATATATCGGAAAACTTTTTCATTCAATCGACGACTTTTTCCACGGTAAAAATTCATGTTCTCTCGCCGAAACGTTCCTTACAGAAACGATTCACGACAATGCGGATGGAATGTGAATGAGAAAGAAGGGGAAAGTGAGGAAAAACGAAGGAAATTTAAAGTAATCCAGGGTCGCTTCCTAAGTCCCTGGAAATATCTCAACGACTTTTTCACGTTGATTTCTTCGTTCAGATCGACGATCTCTTAAATCCTTCTTGAGATATTCACCTTTGGGAACCTTCTGGCCCCTGTTAACGTTCGTTCTCTCGATCCGAAGACGAATAATATGATATAATACTTTATTTTTGAAATGCTAGAAATGAAAGGAACATGTATGCACACATATGCACAGAACAGGAACGGGATCCATTACCTCTTCTTTTCGAATTATGTAGATGAATATAGCGGATCTGTGTGAAACGGTTTTCTTTTAAGTATTACTAATGAGAGCACGTTTATTAATAGAGAGCGTTGTACTAATATTATATTAATACGAAATGACTGGTAAGAATAACTTTTCTTCAGCAAAAATTATGATTATGAGAATACGTTGCTTCGAAAATTGAATAGAATAGAAGATTTTTCTCACTGCAATTAAATTAAATGTAATTGAAATTGTTTCGCAAATAGAATATTACAACAATTTCTGTAATAATAATATTAATGATTATTATAAAAGGGGTAATTGTTTAATATAGTTGTTAATAAAATATTAATAAAATATATAATGAGATTTTTAATAAACGAAATGTACTATAAGCCATTAAATACTAAAAACTCGTTATATATATAATTAAATGTTACGACTGACTCATCAACGCCAAGCCCAAACCTCTAAACCTAGAAACATGAAATTCGAGGAGTATATTCCTTCCATGGCGTAAGCACTTACTAAGAAGGGATTTTTAGAAATTCGACCTCTAAGGGGGTGAAAAGGGGGAAAATGTGTGTTACCGTAGCGAAGCACGGGTATCAAGCTATAGTGTATATGTTATAGTCAAAGCCCAAAACGCAGGTATTCCTAGGATTGACTAGCCAATCCTGGGGAATGACCAAGCGTCTTGGTCAAAGCCCGAAATAAGTTTTGCGTTTCGGCTTTTGACTAGTCAATCCTAGAAATAACTAATACGGCTGGTTAAAGTTAGAAACTAAAGAAAAGTCACTTCGGCATTTGACTAGTCAATCCTAGGAATAACTAATACGGCTGGTCAAAGTAAGAAACTAAAGAAAAATTACTTCGGACTTTGACCAGTCAATCCTAGGTGTAACTTAATTCGGGCTGTGTGACTGTTAACAAATAAAATCAAGATTTTTTTACTAAATTAAGTTCTTATTGTTAACATAATGTAGCTTTTTATTTAGTCGGGGGTCATTGTTTATTAAAAAGTTATTATCAAAAAAAGTTTAGAAAATATAGCAGCTATTTTGAGTATTGGAAGGTATAAGGTAAATGTCCCCATGGCCGACCATGTTCCCTCTACCGACTTTTTTGACGTGAAACGTTGTTTACGAGGCTGCTGATTCAACAACACGTTCATTAGTGCAGTGGAAAAATTCAGGAATTCGTGCAGTACAAAATAATTATAACGTGCAGAGTAAGTACAATAGTTAAATATATTTTTTTTCGCATTTCTTGCCGCACGTCACGTTCCACGCGTATTCTTAAGAGTGAGGTTAGGAATTGTCGGTCGCCTAAATAGTCCGTATTTCGTTCAAAATCCTTTTGTAAGGAATAATTCGAGCGCTAAATGGTTTGTTACAATTTGATTGCCATATTCGAAAAAAAAAAATTAGTCAAAAACTGTTATTTTTTTTATTTATTCGATGGTCGAGGTTAGACACAGCAAAACGCCTGCATGTTCCCAGTACCATACACGTAAACGTCAGTATATTGTCGAACACTAAAATATCTATAAAAAATTTTATAAATTTTGTTGTTCGATCATAAATGCTGTAGAATTTATGATCGAAGTTTGCGTACATGACAATAATTTATTCCCTGCTACGCAGATTACATAACGCAGAGATATCTATAGATTTTTGTGACTGGCGGTAAAGAAATGAGAAAAAATTTTATAATAATATAAATGGGAGCAATAATTACAACAATAATAATAGTATTAATGATTACTTTAAAAAAAAATTGATTTCTTTGATAGAAATGACGAAGACTAAGAAGGAGAAGAAGAGACAGAAATACACAGAAGAAACTTTAAAAGCAGCTGTAGCTGCTGCAAAGGCTGGGCGAGGACTTCGGGCAGTCAGTCTCCAATATAATGTACCAAAAACCACTATCCTCGACAAAATGTCTCAGCCTGAAATAGTTCTGAAGAAAGGTGGACCTCCGACCGTACTTTCCGACGAAGAAGAGCAACAAATCGTTCAGTGGATGATGCACATGAGTGTATGCGGATTTCCAGTCACGAAAAGTATCCTCATTTCTAATGTGGCAAGTCTTATGAAAGAACTGAATCGAGAGAATCCATTTACAAATAATTGCCCAGGCCGCAGCTGGTATGATGGATTTCTCAAGCGTCACCCGGAGTTGGCACAAAGAATTGCCCAAAATCTATCATACTCGCGATCATCAGTAACCGAAATTGCTTTACGAAAATGGTTTGCCGAAGTTAAGACTCATTTAGAGAAGGAAAATGCTGCCGATCTTGATGCGACAAGGATTTTTAATTGCGACGAGTCAGCGTTTTATCTCAGCCCAAAGAGCGAAAAAGTATTAGTAAAAAAAGGAGATAAAGCTGTGTACAACTTTATCAATAACGATGATAAAGAATGTTTGACAGTTTTGTTCACGGCCAGTGCTGCTGGCGCAATGGCACCGCCGATGATTCTTTTTACATACGAAAGGATACCTGCCAGCATATCTGCAAGTATTCCCGAATCGTGGGGAATAGGAAAAACGGAGAGCGGGTGGATGACCGGCGAAAGTTTTTTCGAGTATATCACGAACGTATTTTATCCCTGGCTGGTTGCAAATAGTATCTCATTTCCTGTCGTGCTGTACATGGACGGGCATTCGTCACATCTAACTATGGCGCTTAGTGAATTCTGTAGAATTCACAAGATTATACTCGTTGCGTTGTACCCTAATGCAACGCATGTAATACAGCCACTTGATGTTGCCTTTTTTCGGCCAGCAAAAGGTGCCTGGCGTAAAGCGACGACTGAATGGAGAATGAACCATAACGGCAGACGAATGAGAAAGGAGCACTTCGCACCTCTACTCCAACAAGCTCTCGATACGATCCGCAGCTCCGATATTCTGCGTAGAGGATTCGAGGCTTGTGGTTTGCATCCATTAAATCCAGATGCTGTGAATTATCAGAAACTGATTTCCCGTTTGAAATCAACGGTTGAAACAAACAAACAGAGCGCAAGAGAAATTCCTGAGGCTGATCCTGACAATTTCCTAACATTCATCGAAAAATACATCCCTAAGACTACGCTGCAGAATTTTAAATCTTCTGAAAACCTGGAATCGTGGACGGGCGATTTAGAGGATCAGAGTCTTTTTCGAGTTTGGAGTGCTATTCGTCAACGTAATAGAACTTTATTTTGCTAATAATTTGCTTTAATAATTATTATTCTATCATTTTTTTTTCAATCTTGCTTTTCCTCGTCTTCTTTACTCTTTTCTTCGTTTCTTTATTTTGTTGATCATTTTCTTTATATAGCGTTTACCGGTTCTTTTTTTAATCTTACTTTTGCTTGGTTTCTCTATCTACTTTTCCTTTTCGATCTCGCTTTCTCTAGACTCGAGAAGACAACGCGACGATGCGACAACTTCTCACGATAATACGAATAGTATGCCGAAGCAGGAAACAGCGAGTCTGGAGAGAGAAGAACAGCAATACTCGGATCACGAAGTCGCTGTAATCCCTGTTCAACATGCAACTGTCGACGTCAAGGGCAAAGAAGAAATTTCCTGTTTTACGTTGAAGTTCGAGAATTTGCAAAATCTTGACTTCAATAAGAACGACTTGCTTATCGATTCGACTATTACAGAAAAAGTTATCCATTGTGACTTGATCGAGACACTTATAGACGAGGCAACAATAATGAAAGTCGAGGATGATGGTTCACTGTCAAAAGTCATTGAGAACCCCGGCGATAATCAAATCTTCAATATCGATTCATCTCTACTGGAAAGCGCGACGAACAATTCACTGCATCAGAAGACAACTCTCGTTGATCGTGAAACTGCTTCAAAAAGTACATCCATGTTCATGGAATGATTTTCTATAGCGCCCGTTGATTTTTATTCAAACGTGAAATCTTTTTTTGTATAGGTGAAGATGAAAGGACATTGCAGAGACATTCCACACTCCAATCCACACTCGATGAACCGATGGATATTTCGTGCCAGCATCTTATTGACAGCGATCACAACCTCTGCGCTGGGACGGCGAATAGCGACTTGGAGTTCATCGCACAACAGTCAACGGCGTCAGGGCCACAAGCTGTGGATCTCGAAAATGATCTTTCAATAGGTACTACATATGCACATACTGAATGCATAATTCAAAACAATTATGCAACTTTTCTTTAGAATGCATATAAACCATGCATGCATATTTCAGGGGAAAGAAGAGTATCGCGACAGACTCCTAATTCTGACGTTCTCGTGGGAGCATCAGAATATGCCAGACAAAGCAGTTCACAGGCATGCGAAATGATACCGCCTACGACGAGCGGTCACTGTATGCCTCAGAATGTTCCCGTCCCATTTCAAAAAGCCCTTTTCTGGCCATTGCCAACCGAGAAAGATGACAAGAAACGACGCAAAAAAGAAAAAATTCCGACCGTTGTGACTTCTCAAGAGTGGCAGGCATATCATGCAGCGAAAGCATTAGAAAAAATTAAGAAGAACAATGATATTGAAGAAAGAAAGAGAAATCGCGAATTAGCTAGTATTAACAAAAAAAGAGAAGCCGAAGAGAAGAAAAAAAAAAGACTCGAAGCTGCTGAAGAAAAAAAACGTATCATCGAAGCTGAAAAAGAAAGGAAACGCTTGGAACGAGAAGAAAAGGCGAGGAAAAGACAAGAGCAGTTAAAGAAAAAAAAAAGTCAAAGTAAAGAAAGTTAGTTAATAATATAACTATGTAACATTCATCCGGTTGCAATGCATCTACTTTTAAGTATATATCTATATCTATATCTATATATTTATATCTATATCTATCTATATCTGTGTATTTTAAGTATACATATATCTATATATCTATTAAATAGCATACATTAATTATATCTATTGTATTGTGGAGATCGTGTGTTATAAATAAATGTAATATGCATAGTATACGAACGAAAAGCATTTCAAGATATTATGTTACGATTATATAACCGTTCAATATATATTTCTTATTCTTTACATATCTACTCATCTATGAATTCTCTTTATCGTTCAAGTCAGCGATAACCTCTTTGATATTGATTGTTTGATATCATCAAATTAAAATAGAATACCTATTTTCATGATTTATGTGTATTTTTTATGTTTATCATTGATTTATGTTCATTTTTATGTTTACTTTTCGTTTGAAACCTCCGCCTCGCATGCTCTGAAAAAAGGTGGTCGGCAATGGGGACATGCCCGGTCGGAATTGGACACAGCTGGTCGGTAGAGGGGATACGCACTAGTGCGCCTTTATTCTTCTCTATCTAGAAAAATACTTGACGGAATGGATTGAGCCTACGATTTTTCGAAAGTGCATGGATGAAGCTATCCACCAGTATGAAACTCTTTATCGAATTTATTTTTGTTGCGCTTGACAACGCCATTCTTTTGTTGGGTCGGCCTTATAGGTGTCGGCCATAGGGACATTTACCTTAAATGACTAATATATATGTCGAAATGTTCACGCATACACTTTTTTTGTTTAGTTTTGTTTGACGCGTTTTAAATACTTAAATACTTTTAAACCGCGTCATCTAACCTATGTAGATTAGTGACGCGCTTTAAACAGTTAAATACTTTTAAAGCGCGTCATCTAACCTATGTAGATTAGTGACACGCTTTATTATAAACAGTTAAATACTTTTAAAGCGCGTCATTTAACCTATGTCGATTAGTGACGCGCTTTAAAAGTATTTAACTGTTTAAAGCGCTTTAAAACAATATTTTGCCAAAGCTACATTTTTAAACTTAAGGAGAAAAAACTATGTACAAGAGTAAAAAAGTAAATAAAAAGCTACATTATGTTAACAATAAGAACTTAATTTAGTAAAAAAAATCTTGATTTTATTTGTTAACAGTCACACAGTCCGAATTAAGCCACACCTAGGATTGACTAGTCAAAGTCCGAAGTGATTTTTCTTTAGTTTCTAACTTTTACTAGTCGTATTAGTTATTCCTAGGATTGACTAGTCAAAAGCCGAAACGCAAAACTTATTTCGGGCTTTGACCAAAACGCTTGGTCGTTTCCCAGGATTGACTAGTCAATCCTAGGAATGTCTGCGTTTCGGGCTTTGACTATAACATATATATAAAATAACAGCAATTAATTGTATTATCAAAGAATTATTAAACGTGATTCTATTTAAAAATCTCATTATCATGATTACTTACTCTTTGATTACAATTATATTTCTCCGCATTGTTTTTATTCTCTAAGGTTTAGTTTCGCTATAACGAAATACATGACTAGTTTTGGAACCGATTATCCTGCGGGCTGATGTGTAGCTATAAAATTTGACCGCAAGTCCCTCGTATATTCTCAAGGCTGCTGGAGGCTCCGCACGGCTATACGCGACACATATCGCATCGATCGACGAATTGCTATAGAGTTTAAGGGTCGGGATCTCACGGCTGCGAGGGAATCTCTAGTATGCGGCGGTCCGGTTAATTAATGAATTAACGAACGCGAAAGTGCATCAACGAATCCGATATCGAGAAGCGTGAAATATTGACAGCGGTGATCGAACGTATGGACGTATGGTGAAGCTAGATCCTTTAATTATCAAGAGCGCGTAATTTCCAATGCGGTTCCTCTAAAAGAGATTCGTCGAACGAGAGCTCTCTAAAGAATTTTGTGCAAATGACTCGCGAAATCTTTTTCGCAGTCGCACAGTTGACGCTTTCAGGTTACTCCCGCCGGACTATTAAAGTCGACTACCATGAAGCTTCGTTTCACCTGCGAGAGCTCGAAATTTCACTTTCCGTTCGCACACTCGAACACTGAGCGTACGTTTCATTTTTAATGAGAACAAAGCCTCGCTTCAGGAATGAAAATAATATTCCGATGTAAGTCCGGAAATAATCAATTACGAGTATTTTATCGGATATAATTTTCTTTATAATGCGAGCACACTATGCAACGTCATTGAAGTGGTTGGGCAGAAAAGAAAGTTTCTGTTAAAAGCAATTTCGTTAGTTATCACGATACATCGTAGCGATTAATCAACGAGGGTTTCAGCCGACATGAAATTAAATGATGGAAATATTTATTAAAATGAGTAATGATTTGATGTTTTGTATTAAAATATTTTGTGAACAACATTTAATAGTCAAAAACTAGGAAATCTTAAACGTTGATTAATTGATACGAGACTACTTTGCTACTTGTAACACGTTTAAATTGTTACAACTAAATTAGAAGTATCTTAAGAGTTTATTTTAATATTTTATTTTCTCTTTTTCTAGAGAACAACCTCGAGTGTTTAATCATCATCATAATGGATACGATCATTCTTGATTTGCGCGCGCAGATATGGTCGAGAGAACACGGATGCGAATTAATCGATTAATGAAATAGCACTGTATTTCTATACCTCCGGGATCAATGTTCTTCACTAAAAACGACCTACTTTTCTCTCCTCGCTATATATATGGCGGTGGTTTACGATATCGCTCGCTCATTGGCGAAATCAGTTTAATTTAGCATATTGTAATGTGCAAAGACACGTTTGATGTTATGTTATTCTGTGATAAATTTAGTATCACATGTAAACGTTCTCGTGAATATATAACGCAGAATATATTTTCCCCGATCATAATTTCAATGAAATTTATTTCAAAATTTAACGCAATTACACATTATACGCATTATATTATAGAGACATTTCACAATAATTCAATAAATATGAGATAATATTAACTATACTGTTTTTGGACCGATTATTTTAATCAGGATATATAAATTTATTTGATTTAAAAGGAAGATAAAAAAGACAATTCAAATTTATATTAATCTGTATTTAAAACACGTCATCATTTATTATATTTTAATAGTTGTAAAATATTTTTGTTATTACTCTTTATCTATATCAACTTTCATATAAAAATATTTTTTTTTTACATAATATTGCACACGTAAAACGTGTTTAAAACTCCTCGTTCTTAAAGGTTCTTTTTCAGAAAGTAAATCTCTAGGAAACGATGCCGCTAGTTTCTCTACCATGCTAATTAGGAAAAAGTCTTATTTTATATTCTTTTATCTTATTTTTACGTGAAGAATCTCTCTCCTATACCACGAATCCCGTCGCATGCCGCACTTATATACGAAATACGCAGAGGATTCACAAAGTACACTCGTTCGTAAAACAAAAACTGCGTGCAGTCGCACGCATAATCTCGTCGCCCGACAGCACACAGTCTTTGTGATTCATCAAAAACGGATTACGACGGACGGGTCCCGTAAAAGAG